CCCCCTGCTATATTTGGTTTAGTTATTCTTAGTTATTATTTTCTTGTCGTCATGTGTCAGTGTCATCAGTTTGTTGATTTCTTTTTCGTTTGATGTTACTGTTGTAACTGCTTTGTTGGTTGTCTATTGTCCAACCCTCAGGGTGCCCCGGACTGAAGGGCTCAAGGATTCTGCTGTTGAGACGCTGTAGGACCAGCCTATGGCAGAGGAGGAGCCAGAGCCACCAAAGGAGAGGATCCCTGGAAGGGAGCTACACCTCAAACTCATCTTGGGGGTATCGCTTTGGAGAAGACACCAGATGATTGCAGCAATGACAATGAAGCCTTAAGACCACAGTTGTAGGTCGTTCTGTGCATTGTTGGGCGCTTTCAATCAATTGCCCTTTTAATGAGCATGGCTCAACCTACATGTTGAATCATGATTTGGGACAACTTAGTTATATACTTGACGGCTCAGCAGGTATTACGTAACTTGTCTTGACAAATATGTACTACCATGCAATCGCCTAGCAACGCAGCTGCAGAAAGCCAGGAAGTGTTAAGTAAATCAAACCATGAAAACAGCTCATTGGGTCCTGCTCCCATACATTGGTCACGGCATCGTCATACATGATTCGAGAGAGTTCCTTGGAACTTGCTATCGCGCATGCACTGCATGCGCTCATCGTTGCTGTTTCTTACGCTGCACCGCCTCCAGCGCTGGTGCAACCCCAAGTTGTTGCTGGACGCTGGAGCTGCAGAGAAGAGGAAAGCAACTGGGATGTTCATGACCAATGGGGAGCTATGCTGCGGACTCCCAGACTTTTACTCAAGTTCTATTCGGACCCAGAAATTAATTCTTCGTGCAAGGAAGCTAATTATGTCGGTATTTATCATTTATCAAGCAAAAGTGCCGAATTGTCAAGAACATTCCAAGGCAACAACTCGTGGCACGTGCTACTCTCAAAAAGCAATCCTGATGTTCAGAGCGTCTTTGAATTAGGGCCCAAGTGGACCGTGAGTCATAAGATGCAGCTGTCAGATCCAACCAGATGAAACGACCTCTTCATGTTTTGGAGCCAAAACAACACTTCGGCATTTTGGAAGATTTGCTTTGAAGTTTGATGGGAGATCCGATGCTAGTTCTTTTTGAGAGGTTTGATAGAGTCTTCCAGGCAGCTGCGATTGGTGTGTCTTAAGGTCTACGTCTTGAGACAAGCTGTGAGGGTGAACGTCACGTCAGTTTCATTTTTTGTTTTGCTTCAATAGCCCAGGAGGGGTAGGCCGCTATAGGAAGAGGTAAGCTAGTAGCTATTAGGTAGGCCGCTCCTAGGTAGGTTGCAGGATAACTCACGCTTCCTTGAAGAAGCGCTCGCACCAATCATTTAGTTCTTAGATGTTTAGGAAAGCATCCCAACAAGAAGCATGGAATCCTCACTCAGCAACAACCGCATCGACATCACATGTTCGGACGTTCTCGACCCCACAGCCACGGAAGTGTTGTTACTTCGGTTCATTTTTCAACAGATTTGTCCGACTGCAAAACAGAGAAGCCACCTGTTGGTGGAATGGAAGTGTTTTCCGATGTTTCCACAATGAGGCATGTTCAGTCGTCTGTTCCCAGAGACCCAATCGAATGCTTAGGAGCAAGGGCGCTACTAGTAACAAAAGGGCATCACTACTGGCCGTACTACTAGGAGCAAGGACGCTACTAGTAACTTATATTTTGAGAAGTTCGGATGCCAGCCACATCTAGACCATTTCGTTGGCGAGCTGCCTCGGAACCTGCTGGTTCTCAACCAGATCCCGCGCAGGCAGGTGCAGGGTCATTGAAATTGCATTGTCGAACTACTGTAGGTCCAATCCACTGGTTTGATGTCCCACTCACCCTAAGTGGACAGGCGGACAGTGTTTTACTCACGATGTGAGAATGAACCACTACAGTACAATCTCAGCATTGTCAAACTGTGTAAGACTCGGTTGTGAGAGGTCTACGCGAAGCTCACCTTTTGCGAAGGGAGCGTGTGATGCAATCCCTGTCTTCAGTAGACGCTGAAGCAGTCATGAAGCTGTAGCCCTCAATGCCTTCTTCCGGCAATCCTCCAGCTTGGCATACACATCGCCAAAAACCCCCTTGATGAGTGTGCCTTATGCCATGGCTGAGATGTCACCTTGAGTGGTCGAGTTGGGGTGCTTGCATTCTGCAAAGCGATTGGCCATCCTGATCCTGATCCAATGAAACCGCTAATCCTGATCCTTCGCCGGCAGAAATCTAAAATGATCAAATGTGCACTCGGATGTTTCTTGCCCTCTTGAACAGGTGACCTGCAAAGTGCTCGTACCCGACAAGTGGCAAGATTCGATGCATTCTTTGTTGCAGAGTTGGCGATGGGCCAAAGGGGGGCATGTGAGAAGGTAGGAGTCTGGAATGACCTCCGTCCCTGGCTCTTGGGTGTTGTGCCTTGAAAGGAAGGTCTGGGACTAACCTGGTCTTGGTTCATCAGGATATCTCTGATGGATGCATTGCTTCATTAGCTTCCCTGCCTGCATGGAGGCTGTAGTGTGGCAAATGGCGGGCAAATCCAGCTCATCCCACTCAGGCATATCTAAAGCCTAGAATCTCTCTCTCTCTCTCTCTCTATATATCACGAAAGCTAGCGAAGCTAGCTGGAGTTACTCTTGCGATAGCAAGGTTTCTTTCGACCGGGTGCAAATCCTAACCCCTGATTTTTCAGGTCGAAGACCCCCCCCCACCCTCCTCCCCTCTCCCCACCTCCCCTCTCCCCACCTCCCCCCCTCTCCTCCTCCTTGTCTTCCTCCCATCTTCCCTCCCTCCCTCCTCCCTCTTCGCAAGTTCGACTCCGTCCTGTCGTCGCTCTTTGGCATGCGGTTAGCGTTGCGTATCTTGCGGCCGCACTCGCTCACTCTCACTCTCACTCTCTCACTGTCTCACTGTCTCACTGTCTCTCTCATCTCTCTCATCTCTCTCATCTCTTTCTCATCTCTCTCATCTCTCTCTCCTCTCTCTCTCTCTCTCTCTCTCTCTCTCCTCTCTGTCTCTCGTCTTTCTGTCTCTCTTCTCTCTCTTCTCTCGCAGGAGGATCCGGGCAAAGAGCCACATATAAAGGACTCTTCACCCCTGCCTCCAAAAAGAGCACCGTGTTTTTTCCTACCTCGCTGCCCTCCACTTTCCCATTCTGGAGCGCTAGCTTTCGCCCCCCCCTTGGCCTCAAGTATATATAAATGAATTAGTAGAGAAGTGCGCATAATTGCCTGAGTCATGGGGCATGGCTTGCTAGCAGGCCCAGCGAGACTCCTGCATGAACCAAGCAGACGGCAGGTCTTCCCTTTGATCCCACGATGTGGCCCGGACCGTGCCATCGATTCTTCCAACGGAAGCGAACCAAATCTCATCAACTCATATCAAATCTCCAACCAACAAGGCATGTTTCGAGCAGCTAGTGTCCAATTGGCATTCATCTGGCTGATCCTTTCGTGTCCCAAGGTCCATGTTGCCGGAGTTGAAGTAAAGTTAGAAGGTATGGGGGCTGAATGTAGCTCCTTGCAGTGTTCCAAGACAAAGTGGTGCCACTTGGTCTTCAATGTCCACGTCCATCAGAGATCATCAGAGTGCTCAGAGTTGCGCGGCCAGCTTTTATCAACTCGATTGCGCTTGTACATGGTTTGCGGTGAAGAATGCCCAGGTGGAAGTGTGAGATGGTATAGAGGCCAAATGGCGAATATGCGTTGGCATAAAGTTATCCAAAGTTTATGGTATGTTGAAGCTTTGGCAAAGCATGTTTCAACAGACAGCCTAGAGGTAGTGAGTGACTTACTCTCTCAAGAATTGTAAGCGTATCATCGGCACGTTGCCAAGTCCCCAAAAAGTCGATACAGCAGATCTCCTGTGGATCTCTCTTTTACCGCCATTTACAAGCCGCCCGCCCAAGGATAAAGTCAAGTTCCGCAACTGCGCAGGATTCCGCAACTAGGATTCCGCAACTGTTTGGTCGGATTCCGCAACTGGGATTCCGCAACTGGGATTCCGAAACTAGGATTCCGCAACTAGGATTCCGCAACTAGAATTCCGCAACTAGGATTCCGCAACTAGGATTCCGAAACTAGGATTCCGCAACTGTCAAGATTCCGCAACTAGGATTCTGCGACTGGGATTCCGCAACTGGCGTTCCGCAACTAGGATTCCGCAACATTGTGGACTCCCTCGCTAGGATTCCGCAACTTTGTGAATGATGAGGGATGTCGAGATCACACGATGGGGACAAGGGGAGGTTGGGGGGTGGGGGGCTAATGACGTTGGTTTGGATGTGCTTCGAAGGTGATGTCACAGGCACACACGCTATCGCATGATGTGGAGATCAGTTGCAAGTTTCAGAAGGCAAGTTGCAGAGTCTGACTTTCCAGTTTCAGAATACCAGTTGCAGAATCTGACTTTCCAGTTTCAGATACAAGTTTCAGAATCCCAGTTTCAGAATCCTAGTTTCAGAACCCCAGTTTCAGAATCCTAGTTTCAGAACCCCAGTTTCAGAACCCTAGTTTCAGAATCCAAGTTTCAGAACCCTAGTTTCAGAACCCCAGTTTCAGAACCCTAGTTTCAGAATCCGACCGATTAGTTTCCGAATCCGGCTCTAACCGCCCGCCCAACGTACAAAACGATTGCATAATTTTTGCAGAGAGTTCAGTCGATGACTTTCCCTTTGCCGCCAGGTCGGGTAGTGGTTGTAGGCGACGTGCATGGCTGCAGTGATGAGCTGAAAGATTTGCTGGAGGTTCGCCGCGTTGTGAAGAGTTGATGACCACCAATGGCCATCTCAAGCAGGACGTTGACATCATTATGGCCCACGAGAGAGAGAGAGAGAGCCCCACGCACCACATTGTTTTCTTTAAACATGAGCTAGGTCTGGAGGAGCAAGGTCACGTTTGGTGTTTCAGTTGTAAATTTGTTGAGACCTTGGCACTGCTGGTGTTCCACAGGATCGCGACTTGCGCTTAAAACAGGTCAAAAAAGAATCCTAAAACGGGTCAAGAAAGAACCCTAAAACGGGTCAAAAAATAATCCTAAAACGGAGAAGAGACACCAAGTAAGAAGCAGAAAGTTCTCTTCACAGATGAGAAAGCGCTTGAGGAGGTGAAGGCATTTCCCTCTACATCATTAATTGCCAGCAGGACGGCCTAATCCAGTTACTCCTATACTATCTTCACTGAGATCATCATCAGCACCATCAAGACCAAGAGAAGCAATTGAGTTGCTTGAAGAGGAAAGCCCAATGAAGAACCGCAGGCCATCGGACGATTCAAGCCAGAAGGCCAAGATCAACGTGGTGAAAGTTGGAGGAGAAGGTCTTTGCCATGTAGACGAGGAGTTATCCCCAGTTGCAGAAGAAGTTGGCGAAGAAGATTGGGATGATGATGAAGACGATGATGCGGACTTAGAAGAAACCATTGGACCTTAATGTTTGTGGCGTGATGGAGAACATGAACCTGAAGGAGATCCAGAAGAATGGATGGACAGAGTAGCTGATGAAGTGGAAGAGAAAAGACTCCAGAAAATGCAAGTGCTAGAGAAACCAGAAGGAAGGACAAAAGGAATCAGTTGTTTGGCGACACGCAATGTGCATGACTGGAGAAAGAAACCATATCAACTTGGAGATGGCCTTGCAGTCAAGAGGAGTCAAGAGGTGGAAGAGAAGGTAAGGAGCATTTTCACAGGAGCTAGGATGTGTTAGTGTGGAAGACGCATTCCTACAAGTTCCACAAGAGAGGCCATTAGGAGTGAACTTGAGAGGAGAGGAATGCTTAGTGAAGAGAAACCTACCTGGACAAGTTGGAGCAATCGTGTGGTTTGACGTTTTCACAGAATACCTCGCAAAGGAACTCAATTATAAGTTCAGTGCTGAGTGTCCACACCTAGGAAGAAACGAGAAGACTATCATTTTGATCCGTGTGGAATGTGGAAGACTTGATTTTCACAGGACACTCAAAGTACATCAAAGAAATCTTTCTTCCAAAGGTTCAAGGCAAATTTGACACCAGTGTGGGCAAGGTTGAGAAGATTGGTGAGGAGTTCAGTTTTGCTGGGGAGCAAGTACGTTTGTAGAAGTTGATGGACTATGGACCCAGCCAGGTAACTACATCCAGCAGATGCTGAAAGCCTATGAAGGGCAGATTGGCAAGATCAAACTTCAGCAGTTACCAGCAGACAACTCGATCCAGATGCAAGACAAGTCAGGAGTCTTGCGTGAACAAGAGAGAAGATTCAGAAGCACTGTTGGATCAGTTATCTGCCTTTGTCAAGAGAGGTATGATGTAACGTTTACAGCGAAGGATTTGGCTTTGAAGAAGTCTATGGACTATTGTCTAGCGCTTAAAGTTCCACAAGCGGTAGAAGGTTATGTCAAGAAAGGAGAAAGCGATTGGTGCTTGGAGACATTCTCAGATGCAGACTGGAGTGGAAACAAGAGCCACAGAAAGTCAACGCCAGGAGGATTTCATGCATTGAATAGTTGCCCCTTGTTCAACAGCAGGAGGACACAGAAGATCATTAGCTTCTTCTTGTGAATCAGAACTACATGGCATTGTTTCCTCAGCATCAGATGTAATCTATATTCGAGCAGTTCTGGAATTTGCTCCTGGGACAAAGGTGGACCATTACATCTTTACAGATTCCTCTGGTGCGCGCCAACTTGTGATGAAGAGAGGAGTTGGAAAAGTGAGACACTCGGATGAAAGTTGTTATGGATTCAAAACAGGAAAGACTTCAAGATGGTACAGGTACCAACAGATAGCAACATGGCAGACCTCAACGCAAAGCCACTGGGAGGACAAAGAATCAGATACTTGATGAACCTCATTGGCTATTGGCAAAGTGAAGACCAAACAAGAGTAGGAGAACGCGAGAAAAATGTATGCAGAGAAAAGAACTTTGCATGAAAGGTCAACAAAATTGCCAGGGCGCTTGTGAGAATGGTAGCATTAGAGGGCTTGCAGCCAATGGTTGCAGCAACATTCCTCAAGAGGAAGAATGAAGTTGGAGGATTTGGAGGAAGCCAATGACAACAGGAAATTTTGGATTGCAGTGATCATCATGATCATTACCATTGGTTTTGCAGCAGCAATCTTTGCGCATGCGCAATGGAAGCTCTACAAGCACATGGAAAAGCGATATGATGATATGTTCTATCGAGTTGAGAAGCGCCCGCTATTGGGAAGCTTGGGAACCTATATACAGACTACGGAACAGACAACGCAGAGTTCCAAATCGCAGAACGTACCAATGAAATCGGAGAGTTTGAGCGCTGTGAAGAGAGAACTGATCAGTTACACAGCCATGCCAGGTGAATTCATTGTGGGTTGATTCTCGATGGAGGCTTTACGAACATGAAGCGCCAAACATCCCTACAATCATTTCTTATGATGTGCTACAAGAGTTGAACGCAGGGAACTTCTTAGCAGTCTTAGCCAGAAGGAGCTTGGAAGATATGCAAGCATCAGAAGGACAATATTGGGGACACGCAGTGATGTTGAAGGCAGCTACAGATGGAGCAGCACCATCAGAAGGATCATTGAACAGAATGTTCAAGATAGGAAACAGATAAATATCAATCAGAGAACAAAATATCACAGAACAGGCAAGCCAAATGTGTGGCTGACCTGAAGCAAAACTTGGTCAACTGAATGAAAAACATTGGAACCTGATGGGCAGAGGACATCAGGAGGCAGCAGGTATGGTGGAGAAGGAGATGGAGAAGTATCAAGACTTGTTATAGTATAGAATGCGCAAGCAGGAGAGATTTTCCAAATAGACCACAAACAGAAATATCGCCAAGCTCTGGGAACCCATTTCCTTGGAGAAATACAAAAGCTTGCGAAAGAATTGAATGGAAGAAAGTGGACTACGGTGGCAAAGTGAGCTCAAAGAAGCTTTTTAGAGTCTCACATCGCCAAGAAGGAGTGCGAACCATTTTCCATAGGAATCAGTGTGTAGAAATATGACATCATTAGCATCATGGTGTGGTAGATCAGTTGCATCTCACCGAGTTTTCACCTTGAGCTAGTCTATTAGTCTTTGGCAAGTCTATAAGTTCAATAACCAAGAACCATCCACCAAATATAAGCTTCATATATACACTGTCAAAGAAGGGATGCGGTGACGAAGTTATGTGGTACATGTATCCACGCATTCTCTCTCTCTCTCTCTCTCTCGCTCAAGGTCAAGGGTCGATGAGTTAGTTAGCGCCGGTTAGTCGGTCGTGTTGAAAACATACTGACGTAGGCCTCCCAGTTCCACCCAAGCTTGGATGAGCTCGTGTTCGTGGGAGACCTCATCGGGAAAGGCGCTGCTGCTGAACAACCGTCAAGAGAACATGTGTATCAGAATCAGGATATTTGTAGTCATGCGCGCATTGGTACCTGTCAGAACTAGAACACTGCAGCAGCAATTTTGCCTGTACTTACAAAGGGTTGATGGGCGCCCTGGCCAACGTTGCAGATTCATCGACCTGCTCTGAAGGCCTTCCCACACATTTTTTTTATCCCACACTTTCGGCAGGTCCTTCGCCCGAGGAAGTGGTCCGTATCGCGCGAAAGTACTCAGCGAAAGCAGCTGCTCGGACCACATGACTGTTTCACTTGCACATATATATATATAATATATATATATATGTCTATAATTGTTTACAGACAAAAACACGCGCACAAACTTCACTACAAAGTCACGTGGGTCCATTTCGGACGCTTTGTGTGTACCTGACTGTTTAGTGTTATGATGCAATCAAGAAGTTCCGAATTTTCATTGGTCCTGCTTGGATCAAGTCCACTCTTCCTGCCCGTGCATGACATTGACAAAGGAAACAGCCCGCTCATTCACGCCAAAGCTTTGATGTATCGCGACTTGAGATTCAACGCTTTATGGATTTCTTGGCGAACGCTGAGTTCTTTGAGGTCCAGGGAAACCACGAGTACAACCTCTTGCAATGGCGGAAGCGTGGTGGCATACTTCCGGATCCTGAAGGGCGAATCAAAGAAAGGTACGCCGCAACTGTGAAAGGGCTAGAGGCCAGGCACACTTGGTGTCGCCGAAGAATGGGTTTGTCACGCTTTGTCATTGCAATGAGTAGCGTCCCAGATAGCTTGAACATATTCACAGAGAGGTCATCATGACACCATTCCAACTGGCTGCCCTTAAGTGCGCTGAAGGTTGCACGCAGAATGAGTAGTAGCGCCTCATTCTAGTGTAAATCCTACAGACAGGACAGTCCATGTGATTCATGTGATCCTTCACTTTTGATACTTTTGCAGGAAGACGAGTGGGATTGGTTGGAGTCCCTTCCGTTGAAGCTTCAGCTGGATTTGCCTCAGTCTCCTTTGCCTGTCATGGTGGTTCATGCTGGTCTTGTACCAGGTGTGGAGACTGCAGTGCTTTTCAGAGTGTGGGCAAAAACATTTGGCCGACTGTGGAGTGGAGCCATCACTCACCATGCAATACCCTTCTAGAGCTCACATTGACACCAAGAGACCACTCGACATCCAATGTGGGCGTTAGGAACTGAATAGTTGCTACATGATGGCGCCAGGTGTTTCAATCGAGCAACAAGAGCCGGAGAATCTGGTCAATTTGCGCAGCTTCGACCACGAAGGTGGAAAGTCATTTATGTGAGTACGCGGGCTGTGGTTGGATCTAATGGTTTGTTCTTGATTATGATTGGCTCAAAGGTTTCGTCCCAAACCGGTTTGAGTTCAATGTTGTAAAGATTGTAAAATATTGTAAATGACTTTGCCGTAGCTCGTGCCCAACGTCATAGTGCACTGCTTTGAAGCTTTGAATGGACAAAAAATATCAAATAAGAGATTGTATTGAATATGCGTTGCTGCTTTTGTTGCAGGCTGTACGCTGCCCAAGTTCGTGTCGTTGTAATTATAATGAAAGGAAGTGTGTCGCCAACGCATGCATGTCACCGTAGGTGTAGCCATACAATGTTGTGCGTGAAAATGTCAGTTGTATAGTGCTTTTGTATGCCTGGTCCGAGCTTTATTTGCTGGAACTGTTTGTAAAATCACTTGGTTTGCGAAGGGCTGATGTGATTTGACTTTCCTTGCTGCGCAGCAGTTAACATTTGATGTGACGTCAACGAAGCTGATGTGGTGACAGAGTACCAGACTCGTATACTTGCGTGATTCTAGCTGTGTTAGCAGCTTTGTATAGAATGAGCCAGGTTGCCGGTACCGGACCGCGCCCCTTGACTTGGGCTCAACAACTCAGGGTGCTAGTGGAGACGAAAACAAACTGATCGCGTCCAGATTGATACTGGTAGCGGAGCCGATGCTGGAGAGTGTTTCCTTCACAGCGGCTCAGGCCCTGGCGTGTTCGGCAGCTTTAGCTGGCTCTGCTATATCAACAGTTTTGCAGGGCCTTCAAAGTCGCTTTTTACACAGGCTTGTCTTGTACCCACACAGCAGTGGCTGAAAGGGGGAAGGTTGGACTCCAACCGTTGGAGAGAGCATCTCTGTTGCAGGGTTGCTGATTGCAGAATGTTCAGCTGCGCGGAAAGTTGCGCTGGACTTGAGCTGTCGTGGTGATGTCCAAGCCCAGCGCGTGAGGCTGAAACCTGGTTGATCCTGCCAGTAGTCATAGTCATACGCTTGTCTCAAAGATTAAGCCACGCAGCCACGCATGTCTCAGTATAATCATGTACAGAGCGGTGGGGAATAAAGCAGTTGCGGTGTTCAGTTTCGAGAAGGGCTCATGTTTGCAAAAAGATTTTGACAAAGCTGAAATGGCCAAGCCTATTTATATAGCTGACTGTTGTTTGAGCTTGGTTGGTCGTGTGTGAGCAGACGAGAGTGCAGAAGATCAAGAAGAAGATGGCTGAAAAGGACCATGGCTAGCGAGTCTGGATCATCATCTCCCGTTAGGGCTCCAGCGTGTGGACGCGAACGATGTGGATGACGTGGACCCCACGCGAGCAGTTTGGCGTCCGGAGGAGGAGAAGAGAAAGGAGAACTTGACATTGACATCGATGCCTTGGCCTCCCTGAGGAGCAGTGACCCCTTGGCAATGGACGTGGAGAAGATGACCTCGGAAGTTCGGCTTGCGAGCTGAATTGGCACAGCGCTCGAAGGTTTGAGAGTCACTTGGCAGCTCAGGACATCAGAGTTGCCGCCTTGCTGCAAAAGATGGAATTCCACAGTTGATTTTGGGCGCAAAAGAGCTATACTGGATTGCCAAGCCGGTGACTGGACAATTGATCTCAGGACGGCTGCTATAGGCAAGTCGGTGAGGAGTGGAGGTTGTGTGGGCTATGTGGCAGCTGCAAAAAGGCTGCGGAAAAGCCCTAAAAAGGAAGAGCAGTGAAAGGCGGTGGCAAGACCATGCAAGGGGTCAGACTGTCAGTTCAAGACCGTCTACAGTGTTTGGCAGCCCTCAATGCCCAAAGCGCTAGGCCATGGGGCCGGTTACTCGACGAGCGATGAGCCTTTGGGTATTTTTGCGTTGAGCGATGGAGCCAGTGTCTTTTTGAGGACGACGAAGACGACATCGTGGAGATATATGGAGATCAAGGAGATGAACCAGAAGATATAGCGTGTGTTGGGGTCGCTTATATGGGACACAGGACACCGCGCGTAACATCTGATGACTCCCTGACCGGCTGTCTTTTTGACAGCCTCTGCTGTCTCTATCTGTCTCTTCTCCCACTACCTGTTCTTTTCCTCCGACTGCGAGCTCAGTGACAGCTTCAGTATTGGATCAGATCGAAAGCTTGGGTTGGGCAACAGAATACACAAGCGCCCAGGATGAAGCTTGCGCTATGTTGACGTGAGCCGAATGAAGTGAATCCTCAGATCTCAAAAAAGTTGACTTGGAAGAAGATGACAGGTTGACTCGGAGCCCTCGGTCAGTCAAGCCACAAGAATGCAAGGGTGACGCCGACGCATCCGCCGCTTGAGGTCTGTTGCTAGAGACCGCAGTTCCATGGCCTCGTCTGCGTTTGACGCAGCAGAACAGTGAGAAGTCTGGCGATGTATTTCTGCTCAAGGCACAGTCCAAATGATGCAGAGTTAACTTGAAATTGATATTGGAATTCGAGGACGTCGGACCTTTTTCGAGTTGGCATGATCTACGAGATCCTGGCGAGGTGCGTCGAGGCGATCAAGGAGCCACGCCCAAGGCTGTTGTTTCATGGCTGCGAGGAAACCCCTGCGTTCAGGGTTGTTTGCGTCTGGAATTTATTAAGTTTGGGACGTTTGAATGCAGGTTGGAGCGATTGCAGCAACTAGTTAACTATAGGTATGACGTTGTAAAATTGCGTGACTTTGGAAAGTCACTCAAAAAAGGCCCAAGGCAACCAGGAGTTCCCTAGCGTCATGGAGACACATGTGATCGCCGGTCGTGCGCTAACCAACATGGTCAAGCAGCAAGGCGGGCGACAGCAAATTACACCATTGGCATAGCAGGTCCAGAGTTGGAATTGCGCAGAGTCAAGGAAAGTGGCTGCCAGTCATCGAGCGAAGCCCAGTCAAGATCATCACGACTGGCAAAGAGTACTGCGTGACCAGAGACTTCAACGGTGCAAAGCAACTACAAATGCTTCACGAAAGTGACAAAAAGGATGCAGATTTCCCATTTCGGGCCGCCGGCAGGAGAGTCGTCGCGATCAACTTGAATCCGAAAACCTCTGGGTTCACGTCGGAACCCATCCGGACATCCTGACGGGGATGATCAAGACTGGATCAGCAGCATCATTGGTGGAGTTCTTGAAGTTTGCTTGTGCCGTGTCGTCATGAACAGGCGCCCACTGTTTGCTATGTATGCTATCGAAGCAGCAACCGTTATGGGACTAGCGTTGCCACGGGTTGATTGATTGCTGCAGCTTCTTTGTCGTTGACGGGCGAGCTACAGTATATACAAGAGAGAGTTGCCGTCAACAGAAGCCGCATGAACCATTTTTGTTGACCCCCTTTCTCCACACAACATCCATTTAGCCTTCACTTTCGGCCCCATGCAAAGAGCCCAACCACAACCAATCTCACGTACATGTCTTGAATTTGAATCATTTGAGGGGCCAGGCGCGTGTACATGGAGCATGCCCGTGGTATCCCGTGGTGATTGTTGTGTTGTCAGGAAGGTGGCAGGGTGTAGCACAAAACCACAAATTGGTGCTCTTAACAATTGGGAGTTTGCGTGGGTTTTGGGTGAACTTCACAACAATATATTACAATCCTTTCAAATGGACAAGACATGACACGCACACACACCCCAAAAAAACATATATAAAACCTGGTAGCAAGACTTGCTGATCGTTATCTTGTTTTTTTGGTCAGGCCCGCCGTTAGTTAGTCAGGTCGCGCTTCCAAACAATACGATGCGGGTGGCGGTGGTTGGGCCAGGCACTGGCGTGGCCCCATGCAGGCCACTTACTGTAGATCCACTTACTGCGAAACGTACCGTTGACTCTTGGAAAACCAGGCGGAAGAAAACAACAAGAATAACGTAATATTGGGTGAACAATAGAGATTCAGCACAACCAAATCAGAGGAGGTAGTCGGACACCAGGCAGAGGCATGTATTTTTTGGATAACGTGCTATGAAGATCTATGAAGTAGAACGGAGTCAATTACTTACAATGAAGAACCCTAGTTGATTGTTGATGTTGTTGTGAATTTGAGTTTGTGAACACCCTGGGAACAAGGGTCCGCTACTTTCAAAGCCTGGGGGTCCATCCAGTGTGCGATTGTCCAACGAAGCGGCCACAGTAAAATTGCATAGCAAGGCTGATCACCCTGATGCGTTTGCTTTCAGTTTTTCAGTGAGTGTTCTAAAATCATCTAAAATCAACAGTCCTCATACAGTTTGAAATGTCACCTTGTCTCAGACCACAAGTGGGTGTCTCCTATTCAAATTCCCTTGATTGCAATTCTATTTCATTTTTTCCCTTTGTGACGCATGTGGTTCGGACAGGTGATTTTTGGCCACGATGCTCGTCGAGGTTTGCAACGAGAACCCTTCGCCATAGGTTTGGACACAGGCCTAGCCACTTATACTAGGAGCAACCATTGGATGATGACTGCTGGGTTTCTGGCAGGTTGAGAGAAATGCTGGTCATGTTCGATTCTGTTTGATGGGAGATTGACCGAGTAGGTTGCACCTCGTGCATGTGTACACTTGGTCAGACAGAGATCAGGGATCCACGCTGAGAGTACGCGCAAGTACCTCCTCAGGCATCCATATGCCTGGGGAGTGGATGGAATCAACGTTGTGTTTGTCGCACGCCTGCGTGTATGTCGTTTTTAAACGACAGTTGAGATTGTCAGAAAACAATCACGTTGTGTTGAATTTCTTTGTTATTTTTCATGTTTTTTCACGGTGCAAAGTGGGCAGGTGCAGTTTATGGCGATGAGTTGACGGCGCTACTTTTGCCAAAAAATTTGGATCGGTCTTTGGCGCACTTGGAACCGCAACATTTTGCACAGGTCCGAGCACGACGAGCGTCCTTTGGTCAGATCCAGAGATGTTTTGGGTTGATAATTAAAGTTTGATGTGTGAATCTGATTGAACATACATCGACGTACCCTGAATGTGATGTAGCTGTCAGAAGGAATATATAATTATATATATATAGTAATATCTATTATATTGTACTGCACGACCGACTTTCGAAATGATACCATGAGCTGCATGTCCTTGGCTTTGCAACTGTTCCACCAGTTTGCTACATTCTATTAGCCATACATGTCGCCACATGCACTGATTTGAGTACGTACAGTACCCAGTTCACAGCTTGGATCCAGGTACGCCCAGAAGAGTGATGACCTCAAAAGCACGCAATGAAGCCACGCAACGCCTCCACGATACATCAGCAGCAGCCTCAATCAAATTTACAGACTCTTGCTAATGATGGGTTCTGGAAAGATATCCTGACTGGCCAGACGCCTGCCAGACGACATCTCGCTCCGCATGCTCTGCTTTCCTGCAGTTGAGGGCATCTACTGAGACAGCACATGAGTGTAGAAGGAGTTTTGGTGCCTTTGAGGTGATTTGAAGCGGATGCTTCTAGCACGGAACGACGGAACAATACAAGCATTTGAAGGTGATCAGAAGGGACACTGTGCGACAGAGTGAACTGAGCGAACTGTTTCACCTCTTGAAGTTGGGAGATGTTCCTTTCGATGTTCTGCTCGGGCCTTTTCCGTCACCACTTCGGCAAAAAAAGGACAACAGGAACACCTGGGCGAGTGATGTGCAGGCTGCAGAATGATAAGATCAGATTTGCGCGTCAAACACTTCATCAAGTCTCGCTGGAGTTTCTGACCTTTGATAGCCTCCAACCTAGAACCAATGGCCTCCAACCTAACAGCAATGGCCTTTTACAAAAAACTAATGCTTTGACAATGAATCAATGCGTTGACTCAATGACCGCAGGAGCTGGAGACCGACGCTCCCGTGGCTCAGCCCTTTCTGAAGGCTCCCTAGGGGGGAAGAAATTCATGCAAACAGAGAGTGGACTCTATGGAAAGCATCGTGAAGCTGCATTTCTTGAGGCTGGGCAGTGCTGCTTTCTGACAGAGGATACTACATTTAACGCACCTCACTCAGTGCATCCTTGGGGAAGAGGATTATGTTCTGGTGGTCGATAGAAGAATCACTGCGTTTCAGCCTCAAGGTTCACCCACTAAACACCGACATGACCACCATTTAATTGACCATGTATGACATAGACAATCATAGATGTTATACAGATTTAATTTACTGTATTTTAATTTGATCACGAAAGCTAGCATCAGCTAGCTGGAGTTGCTCTTGCTTTAGCAAGTCAAGGGCTCGCAGCCTCGAGAATCATGAATCACGTGAAAACTTCACGTGTAGGGGGCCCCCCCCCCCCCCCCCCCCCCCCCCCCCCCCCCCCCC